CCATGTTGGTCAGGCTGTCTTGAACTCCCAACCTCAGGTGATCCACCCACCTCGGCCTCCCAAAGTACTGGGATTATAGGCGTGAGCCGCCACGCCCGGCCTCCTATTATAATCTTAAAGGAATCATTTTTAGCTGAAGAAGTGATCTGAGACAGGGAACCTAATTTTCCTCAGGGCACTCAGAGTGTAAGGTGATAGCACATGGTCCCGGCACCCAGGTCTCTGGACTCTTAATGCAATCACACATACCAGCTCTCTTGAGTATGGGGTCCCCTATTTCCAAGCATGCAAAGAAAAGCAGAGCCAGAAGAAGTCAACAACTTTTATTATCATTCACATATTTCATAAAAGAGAGACAAATACAGTAAATGGGTCGTGGCTGTCTGGAAAAAATGCCAAGTTTATATAGGTCGCTCTTTCTACATCTGAGAGCAGGGCTGTCCCGGCATCAGGCACAGCAGTTGCACTTGTCCGACGCCCCTTTGCAGATGCAGCCTTGGGCATGGCACAGCCCATGGGGCAGCAGGAGCAGCAGCCCAGGGAAGAAGGGAAGAGTGAGAGGTCACAGCAGACTTGACCTGAGACCTCCCTGCTCCAACAGAGGCCTGGCTCAAGCCCTGCCTCCAGCCCCAGAGGACCCTTAGTGCAGGCTGGCATTGCTCTGTCAGGAGTCAACTGGTGGATCTTTGGGGTGAGGGTCTTCCAGTGAAAAAGCTGCCCAGCACAACCTACACCTGGGAGAGAACAGAAGACTGGAGAGGCAGTGACCTGGGCACAGGGACAAAGGAAAGCCAGTTCCCCAGAACCATATGCTTAAGTGAGGAAAGTCCTGAAGTGTCAGGTCTGTGCTTGGCAGGTTAGTGCACGCGCATGCCCTCAGTTTCCCCATTTTAAGAATGAAAGTTGGAAATCAACTATCTTGTGTTTTTCCAGCTGTGATCCTGAATCTCTTGCCAGAAAGGAGATGTGGAAAGCTGGTCACTGTCCCGCTTCTGCCTGCTGAGCTCTGGGGTCCCTCCTCTGACTCTGCCCAGTCCCCCGATTCCCACGGAAGGCCCCACGCTCACTCTTCTGGCAGGAGGTGCATGTGCGCTCTTTGCATTTGCAGGAGCCAGCACAGGTGCAGGACGCAGCCGCAGGGAAGAGAAAAAGGCAGTGAGTAGTGTGTGTGGTGCAGGGTTAGGAGCAGGCCCTCAGCATCCTCCTATTCAGTGCACAGGAAACCTGGTACCTAGTTCCACTCAGGCACACGGAAGCCCGGCCCCATCTTTTCTTCACACTGGCTCTGATGGGCAGGCGCCCTCTTTTTCATACCACATGGGGACTTCAGTGGGGAATCTTGAAGAAGCAATGTCTCCCACCTCCCTACCAGCCCAGGCAGCTCAAATGCTGGACAGAGCACTGGGTCCCAGCTCAGCACACCTCTGGCCTATCGGTGACCTGGAGCAGGGGCAGTTTTGAGCCTCATTCCTCTCGCCTTAGAAATGGGAGGCGCTGGGACAACGCTAATGTTCTTAGTGATAATAAAGGTACTTGGTAAGAGAAAAAGCACCAGAAGTACAAAGTAAAATAATCCACTTTAGGTAGAGCTCAAATGCACCTGCCTCCTGCCACAGGAACATTCTATCCTCTGGCATGAAATGGAGATCCTAAGGCCCTGAAACCCAGCATCCTTTATCAGTGGCGCAGGAGCAGTTGGGGTCCATCTGGAGACCAGGTGAGGCTGGAGTACCTAAGCCAGAGGCGAAGAAGCAGGTAAGCCGGTGGGAGGCGGAACAGAGCTCAGGAGCCACCTCTGGCTTTGCAGTTAGGGAGAAGTGCCGGGCGCAGAGGCCCCGCCCCAGGTCTGGCCCCCGCTCCCGCAGTGTCAGAGGCGCCCTAGGGTTCAGGGCCGGGCTGTGCGCAACAGGCGGCCCGGTGCAGGTGGGCACCCTGGGGGCGGCCCTTTGACTCCTGCTCGCTTTGCAAGGGCTGTGCTCCTGGCGGTAGGCGGAGTCCCTACTATAATCCCGGCCCTCCGGAATTTCCCGGGGATTGGGGTCCACTCCTGCCCCTGAGCGGTCCGGGAACCCAGCCTCAGGTGGTCGTGGTATCCCCAACCCATAACCCACACCAGTGACCTAAGCTTCGCCTCTGTGGGAGCCTGTGTGCTACCCCAAGCTAGTGCTGGTGTCCCTAGATAGGACCCAGGCAGAAAGTGCAGCGAGGGAGTTGTGTGTAGAGGACCAGCCTCCCATGTGACCTTTGCCTCACCTGCATTGCCAGGCAAGTCCTTTGGCCATGTTCGTCTTGTTCACAGCAACAGAGCAGACACAAGGCTCTGCCTCCTTCCCTTCCATTCCCCACTCCTGGGAAGGTGATGGACACATTTGTCCAAGTCCTCTTTTGCTTTAACTTCTTGGGGCTTCCCACAGCCTCGCTGGTCCACCAAGCCCAAGGATGGAGCTTCCCAAAACTTGGAATGTTCCCAAGGGAGCGATCTTTTCCCTGATGTGCTCACCCTTGCATTAAATTAAGAAGCATGAAAGGTGGTTGTTACTCTCAGAATTCTTAACTGTTACAGAGCTTTTAGTCTCAGCCAGACCCTGTTTAGTCACTTTGGCTATTTGAACCCTCACAGCAACCCTCAAGGGGAATACTCTTTATAACAGTGTCTTACTAACCGGACGGCAACACAAGGAGATAAATAATTAGCCCAGGACAGAGGGTGGAAGTGTTGCCGCGGGTCTCAATCCACTCAGCTTTTCAAGGCAAAGACATCAATAATGCAACTTCTCTTTGGCCTGGGTATGTCTTCAGCACCTCTTTATTGCTTGAAATCTTTAAACAAAAACAAATGTCAAGATCAATCCAGAGGGCAACAGAAGTGATACGGAGGGATACGTATAATTGTGTGGCTACCTTCCATGTCTGCAAGGTGAGACTGATTCTTATTTTCAGTAGTGTCAAAGAGTTTGCTTTTTCTATAAATGTATTAAGGAAATATGATTGTTTAAAAGAAAACGTTACGGAAAATAACAGCACAGGTGTTGGCAGAAATGACAAGAATCCTTTTGCATCTGTTATGCAGACAGGGACTGTCTTGCTCATGGCTTTACATATGCAGCGTGGATTCCTATTTGTGGATGGGGAGGGGTCCCTCTCTGATCCACAGGTCATATGCTCATGTTATTGATGGGAACAACATGGGACATACAGCTAAGCCCACCAGGACTGGCTTATTTGTCTGGAAATATAAAATGTTCCTGTGCTATGAATAAAGGTAATAAAATCATAGCTATTACAGACTACTTGCTAAAGGCTATATTAAGTTCTCTATATGAATTAACTGATTTGTTCCTACCAGCCAGACCCTGTTATTATGCACAGGAACAGGGTAGGAGCCTGAACCACAGAGAGGTTGTGTCACCCAGGTATAAATGACACACCTGAAATTTACACTCATGCAATGTCATTCCTTCAACCACCACCCTATGTCACTATGTCATGTAAAACACAAGGACATGAAAAACCTGGCACAGGGACAGCAGAGAGAAGAGTAATGAGTTGGTAGTCAATCTCTCTTCATAGCTCTTAACCTCCCTGAGCTTCAGTGTGCCATCTATCCAGTCAGGGCACAATTGAGTCAACTAACCAAAGGTCCTTCCAGCTAAGAACTGTGACAGGCAGAGCTCAGCATCCACTTACATGATGATCTGCCAGCTCTGGAGAGGGCGTGAGGACAGCTGTACCCTAAGTTCCTCTATACCTGTAGTGCTGGGTCATGTGACCTTGGGCAGGTTCTTAAGTACTCTGGAGGACAGTGTCCCCTGCATGGGGAGCCTCTGCACACACTGTCTCTCTGGTTTGTATGAAGATCAAATGACTTGAAGGGTGGGAAAGGCTTGTTCTCTTTCCAAATGCTGGAGCAGTGTCTTATGCTGGAGAATTGGTGCAGGAGGTCATCCACATATCCTTAAGACCAGATCAGCAAGACTCCAAACCCATTCCCAACTTCCAGTCCACAGTCATGCTTCCAAGGAACTGGACCTTTCCCAAGGAGCTTGATGGGATCTAACAGGATTCTCTGTCTGGGAAGTCCATGTGGACGAATGATTATATCAGCACTCTTCATTGAGTCCTAGCCAGGTCCGAGGCAACTATCACATTTCATCCCAATGTAGAGATATAATCTTCTTTCTACAAATGAGTAAATGAAGCCGCAGAGGGGTTAAGCACCTTGCCCAGGTCACATAGCCAGTAAGGGATGAAGTGGGCTGTGAACCTGCTTGTGTGACACCAAAACACCCGTACTTTGCCCAGGCTGCTTTCTCTTCTTGTTTTATTTTAATTTTTTGTTTTACATAGAGAGAGGTTCTTACTATGTTAGCCAGGCTGGTCTGAAACTTCTGGCCTGAGGCAATCCTCCTGCCTTGGCTTGAGCAGAGCATGATGTGAGCCATCGAAGTGGTGTGAGCCACTGTACCTGGCCAGACTACCTTCTGAAATCCCCTCTTCACAAAGCACCTTTAGTCCAGCATGGTGGTTACTCTTGGGCCAGGTGACTCCTCTTCCACTTTAAATGACAAATAGCAATTCCCTCACCATACAGCCAAATAACTAACAGTTGCCATGAAGTACAAGACACCTAGAGCCTTCCTCCTTCCTACTGAATATCACTGTACCTTAGAAAAGATGTGAAGCGTTAGTATTTTATTTTTCCTGTTATTTTGTTCTTCCTGTCTGTTTTGAGATTTCCTTGTTGAACTTAAAAAATGAACATTCTCTTTTTATTTTTCACACTTATTCATTCTATTTTATCTCACCAAAGCGTAGGTCCATGACTGATTACTGTACCCTCATATCATCTGGCATGATGCTCTTACATTTTTAGCTAGGAAACTGACCTGAGACGGGTGACCCGACTTGCCTTAAGGCCCTCAACTTATAGGATGATCCCAGCTCTGCTAGGTCTGAGGTCTCTTATTTCAGGACACCCCTCAAAAAAATCAGAGGCAGAATAAGGCCAACAATGCTTATTATCATTCCCATATTTCACTTAAGAAAACAGACATAGTAAATGGGTTAGGTTTGTATTTAAAAAACAAACTAGGTTTGCAGGGGTTGTGTTATTTACATCTGGGCACAGGGCTGTCCCAACATCAGGCGCAGCAGCTGCACTTCTCCGATGCCCCTTTGCAGACACAGCCCTGGGCACATTTGGCACAGCCCACGTGGCAGCAGAGGCAGCAGTCTGGGGAAGAAGGGGAGAGTGAGAGGTCAGAGCAGGCTTGACCAGGGATCTCCCTGCCCCAACAGAGGCCAGTCTGAAGCTGTGCCTCCAGCCCCAAAAGATGCTTAGTTCAGGATGGCATTGCTCTGTCAGGAGATAACTCTTGGATCTTTGGGGTTAGGGTCTTGCCATGAAAAAGCTACCCACCCTTCCTGTGCCCAGGACAGGGTAGAAAACTCAAGAGGGAGTGACATGCGCTTTGCAGTAAAAGGAGGGACAGTCTCCTAAGTGAGGAAAGTCCTCAAGTATCAGGCCTGTGCGTGGCCAGCTGGTGTGCTCTCTTGGTGTCCCCATGGTAAGAATAAAGATTGGGAATTAACCATCTCTAGTATTCTTCCGGCTGTGATCCTAAGTCATTTGCTGAAGCAAGGGTATGTGGGAAGTTCGTCATTGGTCTGCTCCTGCCTGTGGAGATCTGGGATCCTTCCTCTGACTCTGCCCAGATGCCAGATTCCCAGGGAAGGCCCCACAATCACTCTTCTTGCAGGAGGTGCATTTGTACTCTTTGCATTTGCAGGAGCTGGCACAGGTGCAGGAGTCACCTGCAAGGAAGAAAAAGGCAGTGAGCAGCGAGTGTTGTGTGCCTCCCATCCACCTCAGGCAGCTCAATGCTGGACAGAGCACTGGGTCCTAGTTCAGCACACCTTTGGCCTTCAGGGTGACCTGCAGCCGGGCAGTTTTCAGCCTCAGTCCTCTCTCCTCAGAAATGGGAGGCACTGGGAAGACGGCAATGTTCTAACTGGTGATGAAGGCGCTTGGCGGCGAGCTCGAGAAGTGCAAAGCAAAGGAGTCCACTTTAGGAAGAGCTCAAAATGCACCTGCCTTCTGCCCCAAGGGTGCTCTATTCTGTGGTATGAAAATGAAGACCCTAAGACCGGAAACCAAGCATCCCTTACCAGTGGCGCAGGAGCAGCTGGGGTCCATTTGGAGATCAGGTGAGGCTGGAGTTCCTAAGCCAGACGTGAAAAAACAGGCGGGCCGGTGGGAGCCGGAACAGATCCCAGGAGTAGGCCGCCTGACTTTACAGTCAGTTCAGGGCGCAGGGTGTAGAGGCCTGGCCCCAGCTCTCACAACTGCCCGGCCCGGCGCAGTGTCAGCACTGCCCAGGGTTCAGGGCCGGGCTATGAGCACCAGGCGGGCGGGCGCAGGATCCTCCTTAACATGACTGGTGCACACTTCGGGGGCGGCCCTTTGGCTCACGCTCACTCTGGAGGGGCTGTGCTCCTAGTGGTACCCGGCGTCCCGCTGTAATCTCAGTCCTCCCGAATTTCCCGGAGATTGCACTCCATTCCTGCCCTGGGCAGTCCGGGAACCCAGCCTCAGGTGGTCGCGGTATCTCCACCCCAGTACCCCACACCAGTGACCTAAGCTTCGCCTCTGTGGGAGTCCATGTGCTACCCCAGCCTAGTGCTCCTGTCCCTAAATAGGACCTAGACGGGAAGCACAGCGAGGGAGTTGTGTGCAGAGGACCAGCCTCCCATGTGACCTTCCACCCACCTGCATAGTCACCCAGGTCCTTTGGCCTCACTTGTCCTCTTCACAGCAACAGGCCAGACACAGGGCCCTGCCTCCCTCCCTTCCATTCTCCATTCCTGAGAGGGCGATGGGCATATTTAAGTCCTTTTTGGCTTTAACTTCTTTTGGGCTTCCCGCAGCCTAGCTGGCCCACCAAGACTAAGGACATCCAAAGCTTGGGAGGTCACAAGGGAGGGCTCTTTTCCCTGATGTGGTGACCCTGCATTAAAATAAGAAGCAGGAAAAGTGCTTACTTCCCTTTCAGAATTCCTGACTATTGCAGAACTTTTGGTCTCGGCCAGACCCTGTTTAGTGACTTTGGCTACTTGAACCCTCTCAGCAACCCTCAAGGGGAATACTCTTTACAATGGCATCTTACTAATTAGACAACCACAGCACAAGGAGATAAGTAACCAGCCCAGGACAGAGGGTGGAAGTGCTGAGGCAAGAGAATAGGCTCTGGAGGCAGTGAACCTAAAACTGACTCACAGTCTTTCTAGAACTAAACCAAAAGGAAAACCCCAACTTTCCACACCCAAGTAACAAAAGGACTAAAGGCTACTTCGTTTGCAACCCCTCTCCCCTTTGTCTGCATGGCAGATGAGAAATTGAAAGTACCTCTGATTTGTCCCTTATGACAACCAATTGGACTGGCCTTGGACTACCTCTTCATTTGCATAGCAGTAACTTTGTAACTTCACTTCAGCTTCTAATTGGTTGCTTTCTGCCATCAGTCAGATAGGGGGCCACTACTTCATGTACATAGGGAGTACACTAAATAACTAATGGGGAACCTCTGGAGAATATTTAAACCATAGAAAATTCTATAACCAGGCCCTTGAGCCACTTGCTGGGGCCAGCTCCCACCCTGTGCAGTATACTTTTGTTTCCAATAAATCTCTGCTTTTGTTGCTTCATCCCTTCCTTACTTTGTGCATTTGTCAAATTCTTTGTTCGAGGTGCTGAGAACCTGGACGCCCTGCGCTGGTAACTGTGGTGCTGTGGGTCTCAATCCAGGCAGCTTTTCAAGGGAAAGAGGTCAAGGGCAAAGCTTCCCTTTGGCCTGGGTATGTCTTCAGCACCTCTTTACTGCTTGAAATCTTCAAACATAAACAAATGTCCAGGTCAATTCTGAGAGTGACAGAGGGAGGTATACGTAACTTTATGGCTACCTTCCATATCTGCAAGTGGGACTGACTCTTTTTCTCAGTAGTGTGAAAGAGTTTGCTTTTCCTATAAATATATTAAAGAAATATGATTACCTAAGAGAAAATGTTAAAGAAAATAACAGCGCAGGTTATAGCAGAAATGGCAGGAATCCTTTTGCACCTGTTATGCAGACAGGGACTGTCTTGCTCATGGCTTTATGTATCCAGTATGGATCCTTATTTGTGGACTAGTGGAGGACCCTCTCTGGGCCACAGGTCATGCGCTCCTGTTATTGATGAGAACAACATGGGACACACAGCTAAGCCCACGAGGCCTGGCTTTTGTTTAGAAGTAGAAAAATATCCCTATGCTATGAATAAAGATTAAAATCAAAGCTATTACAGACTACTCAACACAAGCCAGGCACCATTTTAAGTTCTTTACATGTTTTAAGTGATTTGCTCCCACCAGCAGACTCTATCATTATCTCAATTCGCAGTTGAGGAGACTGAGCCACAGAGAGGTTGTGTCACTCTCATAGAAGTGACGCAACTGGGATTTGCACTCATGCATGCTGACTGCATCATGGTGCCCTCAACAACCACCCTATGTCACCGTGTCATGTAAAACCCAAGAACACTGAAAATCTGGCATAGAGACGGCAGTGGGAAGGGCACTGAGCTAGCAGTAAATCCCTCTGCATAGCTCTGTGACATCTCAGCCTCAACACGCCATCTCACCCATCAGAGGCACAGCTGCACTCATTGACCAAGGGTCCTTCTAGCTCTGAATTGTGACAGACAGTTCTACAGAGGAAGAAATGGGGACTCAGAGAGGTTGAGCAACCTGCCTAGGTCTCACAGCCCAGGACAGAGGTGGTGAAGTGGGCAGTTCAACAAGACTGCCCTGACCCTGATCCCCATGCTCTTTGCACAGGCTACCTTCTGGAACCCTCTCTTCAAAAGGGGCACCTGCAGGCCAGCATGGTCCTGATTCCTGGGCCGCTTGACACCTTTTCTTCTTTGAACATCAAATAGCAATTCCCACAACAAATGGCCAGAGGAACTAATTGCTGCCATTAATTACAAGTTACCTGGGGCCCAACTCCTTCCTAGTGAACACCACCACAATTTAGAAACTGCATAATGGGCCATCACCTCCACATAGGCAGACTCAAAGGTCTTCATCAGGAACTAATCCTTCTCTGTACTCCATCTTGCTGGGAGGATCCTGGGTAATTTCCTACACTCCGCCAGTTACTTTGCTTGCCTGAATTAACCAAACGCTGGAATTGAAGGAGGAACAGATTTCAGCCTGACCTAGGGAGACACTTCTGAAGTTTCAGAGCCAAGTCACAACATGGAGCCCTCAGAGATACTGAGAGTCACATCAGAGACCCTGGAGAGGCCAAGACTGATGGTTCCATGTGGGGATGGCCTGGCTGGTGCTGTTGAAGGCATGTGACCCACATACTGGGGCCAGTCTGTGAACTGTTTCCAGTCTGAAATATACACCCTAGAACAAATGTGTAATTTTATTTTTCCTATTTTGTCTTCCATATATTTATTGAAATTTTCCTATTCAATATAAAAAATGAATTTGGTGTTTTTTTCTTTTTATCATACTAATAAATTTTATCTTACCAAAGCTTAAGTGTGTAACAGATTCCTGTGGCATTATATCACCTGTCACCATGCTCTTACATTTCTATTTAAGAAACTGACCTGAGGCAGGTGCCTATTTGCCTTAAGGCCCTCAGTGTGTAAGGTGATAGGACAAGGTCCCAGCACCCAGGTCTCTGGATCCTCCATGCAATCCACCATCCCAGCTCTGTTGGGTATGGAGTCCCCTATTTCCAAGGCACACAAAGAAAACAGAGCCAGCATTAAGTCAACAATTTTATTATCATTCACATATTTCATAAAAAATAATACAGTAAGTGGGTCAGGGTTGTACGGAAAAAATTCCACGTTTGTGCAGGTCGCTCTTTCTACATCTTCCAGCAGGGCCTTCCCGACATCAGTCACAGCAGCTGCACTTCTCTGATGCCCCTTTACAGATGCAGCCCTGGGCACACTTGGCACAGCTCACGGGGCAGCAGGAGCAGCGGCCTGGGGAAGAAGAGAGAATGAGAGGTCAGACCAGACTTGACCAGGGACTTCCCTGCCCTCAAACAGGCCTGGCTCAAGCTCTGTCCCCAGCCCCAGAGGACACTTAGTTCAGGATGGCATGCACTGTTGGAGATGGGCGATAAGTGGCGGATCTTTCCAGTGAGGGTCTTCTGTGAAAAGCTTCTTATCCACATCTGAGCCCCAGACCTGGCAGAAGGCTGGAGAGGCAGTGACTGGGGTTATCAAGGGCAAAGGAAGGCTGGCTCCCCAGAACCATACACTTAGGTGAGGAAAGTCCTTAGGTGTCATGTCTGTGCTTGGCAGGCTGGTGCACTCTCTTGGCCTTAGTTTGTCTATTTTAAGAAAGAAATTTGGGAATCAATCATGTCTAAAGATCTGGCTCTGATCCGGAATCAGTTGTTGGGGAAGGGGAGATGGGAAATTGACCGCTGGCCTACTCCTGCCTGCTAAGCTCTGGGTTCATGCCTCTGACTTTGCTCAGCCCCAGATTCCTGGAGATGGCCCCGCACTCACTCTTCTTGCAGAATATGCATTTGCACTCTTTGCACGTGCAGGACTCAGCGCAGGTGCAGGAGCCACCTGCAAGGAAGAGGAAAAAGGCAGTGAATTTGATAAAGACAAAAGCAGTTGGTCAACAAATACTCCCAGCTGAGTGCATTGCCAGGCCGGATAGATAGAAGATAGCTCATGTTCGACTCAGGGCACCATGAAGCCTGACCTTACTTCTACCTCTAGAGGCTAGGATGGGTTTTATGTCCTTAATCCTGAAAAGGCAACAACCCCTGTCTCCCATCCACCCCAGGAACTGCACAGAGTACTGGGGCTCAGCCTAGCAGCCCCCAACTACCTGGGTGACATGGAGCAGGAGAATTATGAGCCTGAGTCCTCTCACCTCTGAAATGGGAGGTATTAGAATAGGAATGTTCTAGGGGTGATGAAGGCGCTGAGAGGAAAAGCACTAGATCAATGAAATAAATGGCTCCACTTAACTAGAAATCAAAAAACACCTGTACTCCTAGGGGCATCGATCCTGTGGCGGGGAAATAGGTACCCTAAGGACCAGAAACCCAGGATGCCTTACCAGTGGAGCAGGAGCAGCTGGGGTCCATTTCGAGCCGTGGAGAGGTTGGAGATCCCAAGCAAGAAGTTAAGAGCCTATAAGGCACACGTGGAAGGCGTGGTGGAGCCCCACAGCCAGCGGCTGCTTTAATAGGGGAAGAGGGCCGGGAGCAAAGGCCCCGCCCCGCGCTTGCACCCGCCCGGCGCTTGCACCCGCCCGGACGAGTCCGCCCAGCCCGAGGTCCTGGCCTGGGCTGTGCGCAGTAGAAGGGTCAGGCGCACAGTTCCCTGAGTAGCGCTGGGTGCCGACCGCGGGACCACCCCCGCCCCCCGCTTTGGCGCACCGCTAACGGGCTTTGCGCCCGGGGTACGCAGTCTCCCCGAGGTACCAGCCGCTTTTCCCGGTTTCCCCAAAGTTGCCTTCCACCCTAGTCCCCGCGCGTTCCGGGAACCCAGCTTGGCGTCTAGTTAGTCTCCCCCCTACCCCTCGCACCGTTTTCAGCTCGGCATGTCCAGAAGTCTGTGTGCAGCCACAGCCTCCCGCTCCCGCTCCCGGATCGGCGGAGAGCGGAGTGGGGACCGGGCGGTAGCGAGCGAGTTGTGTGCAGAGCCCCCGCCACCAATGTGATTTTCGTTTCTCCTCGCCCGCGCCTTGCCTGTCCCTGTCCACACCTAGGTCCCTCGGACCTGCTCCTCCGTACACATTAACACGGGGAACACGGGTCGGCCTCTCTCTCGCTTCCATTCTCCTCTCCTGAGAGGATGTGGGGGCACATTTATCCAGGACCTCCTTTGCAAATAAACCCCCATGCTCCCCACAGCCTAGCCAGGCACCCCACTACCGGTTGGCAGTTCTGGACATGTGGGAAACCCCAAAAATGAGACGATTTCATGTGATGTGCTGACCCTGCTTTAAATTTAAAAGCAAGATGGGGGAGGTAGCAGGAAGCTGTAGTCCAGGCTACTTAGGAGGCTGAGGCGGAAGGATCACCTGAGCCCAGGCGTAGGAGTCCTGCCTGGACAACACAGGGAGTCAACGTTTCTAAAAAAATAAAATTAAAAAGCAAGACAGCCAGTTATTTCTCTTCAGTATACCTGACTAAGGCATAACATTGAGTCTATACCTGTCCCTTTCTAATCACTTTCATTCATTCACAGCCAGCTGTGGAGTGACCCACCAGAGGAAGAACTCACCCTTCACTATGGGATGGCACCAAGCCATTCTTTAGAGATCTGTCCTCAACCCTAAAACCTCCCACTAGGCCCCACCTGCAATATTGGAGGACACATTTCAACATGAGATTTGGCAGTGACAAAATATCTAAATCATAGCCCTCATGTAGGATTCAAGAAACTAGGAACTTGGGTTCCAGCACTATAGCCACTTTGAAGCCCAAAATCCAAGTGGATCTCAAGTTATGGAGGAAAATCAGAAAATAAAAATAAGGGGTGAAGTTTCTGTGCCACACTGGGAATGAGACAAAGCGATCATGTATGGCCCCCACAGTGCAATACCATTTTACAGAAGTGTAAACTCAGTGAGGTAGCCTGGCTGGCCTGAAAGTTTTCACATTATTAGTGGCTCATATTTCCATCCAGAGCCTGGTATCTAAACTCGTGGTTCAACCCCCCACCCAAGTCCATTTTCTGTAAGACACACAGAGAAGACCAGATTAAGATTCAAGTCAAAATTGTTTTATTGCCATTCACATATTTAATATAACAAGAAATGCAGAAAATGGCTCAGGGTTGTATTAAAAAAAAACCCAGGTTGTGAAGTTTGCTCTATTTACATCTGGGAGCAGAGCTCTTCCCACATCAGGCACAGCAGCTGCACTTCTCCGACGCCCCTTTGCAGATGCAGCCCTGGGCACACTTGGCACAGCCCACAGGGCAGCAGGAGCAGCAGCCTGGGGAAGAAGGGGAGAGTGAGAGGTGGCAGTAGACTGGACCAGGCACCTCCCTGTCCCAATAGCAAGCCTGGCTCGAGCTCAGACGCCAGACCCAGAGGATGCTTTTTTCGTGTGCCACAGCTCTGTTCTGAAACCACAGATGGTACAGTTGGGGTTTGTGTCCCAAGAGAAAAAGGTTTCCCTGCCCCATCTGAACTCAGGGCAGAAAGCATGGAGAGGGAACGACATGGACAACAGGGGCAAAGGAATCCCAGTTACCCAGAATCAGGCACTCAGTGTCAGCTTTGGGTTCCCTCCCAACCTTAGCCACAGCCCCAGATTCCTGGAGATGGCCCCTCACTCACTCTTCTTGCAGGAGGTGCATTTGCACTCTTTGCATTTGCAGGAGCCGGCGCAGGCGCAGGAGACATCTGCAGGGAAGAGAAAAACGCAGTGAGCAGTGAGTGAGATGCAGAAGGTACAGCAGTGGGTCAATGAGTCTCCAGTGCCCTCTCCTCTGTGCAGAGCCAGCCCTCAGAGCTCCTTTCTCACTCAGGACAGAGGAATAGAGGCCCCATGTCCTCCCCACTCACACTGGGAAGCGCAAGCACCCTCCTGTTTTACCCCACCAGGAAGGTCCCTGCTGCACACCCAACCCAGGAATACTGAGATTGCGAGCCACAACCTTCTGTCCTGAACTCTGAAGACTCTATGTCTCTAGCCCCCCATCCACCCTGATTGCTCAGAGCCTGGCGGAGAACATTGGTGCCCAGCCTGCAGGACCCTGACCAACTGAGTGATGTGAAGCAGGACTGCCTTGAGCCTCAGTATCCTTAACTCTGACTTAGAGGCCCAGCGGGAAGGGCAATGCTCTCAGGGGCGTGATCAGAAAGAAAACACCCAAGGAAGTAAAGGAGTCCCCTTCTGCTCAGAACTTAAAATGCGACCTCCTCAAACCCAGAGACCCTCTGAACTGGGGCTGGGAAATGGGAAACCCAGGGCGCAGAGTCGGGCTTCTCTTACCAGTGGCGCAGGAGCAGTTGGGGTCCATTTCGAGCCGCGGAGAGGCTGGAGATCTTAGCGAGAAATCGAGAGACAGCAAGGCGCACGTGGACGGCGTGGTGGAGCGCCACAGCCTGGGGCTGCTTTTGTATTCAGGGAAGAGGGCCGGGCGCAGAAGCCCTGCCTGGCGCTTGCACCCGCCCTGCTGGGTTCGCGCCGCCTGCGGTACTAGACTGGGCTGTGCGCAACAGAAGGGCCGGGGGCACCATCTGCTGAACTCCGCCGGGGAAGCGCCGCGGAACCGCCCCTTTGAAGCCGGTTCGCGCAGAGGGGCTGTGCGCCCGGCGGTACGCCCCGTCCCCGAGGTCCTGGCCGCCTTTCCCAGTTTCCTCGAAGTTGCCTTCCACCCTCCTCCCGGCGGGTTCCGGGACGCCAGCCTTGGCGACGGGAGCGTCTCCACCCCACCCCTCGCCCCGCTGTTTTCAGCTGGGCCTGTCCCGGAGTCCGGGTGCAGCCCTCCTGCTCCCGTCCCCGGATCGGCTGAGTGCGGAGCGGGGAGCCTGCGGTAGCGAGCGAGTTGTGTGCAGAGCACCCGCCACCGATGTGACTTTCGTTTCTCCTCGTCCCCCCGCCTTGCCTGTCCCTGTCCACACCGCGGTCCCTCTGACCCGCTCCTCCATACACAGCAAGACGGGGAACACGGGTCGGCCTCTCTCTTCCGTCCATTCTCCTCGCCTGAGAGGATGTGTGGGCACATTTGTCCAGGTCCTCCTTTGCAGATAAGTCTCCATGCTCCCTACAGCCTAGCCGGCCACCTCCACTGCCGGCTGGCAGTTCTGGACATGTGGGATGTCCCCAGAGAGATGACTTCAGATGACATGCAGACCCTTCTTTAAATTAAAAAGCAAGGTGGGGAAGGTGGTGGAAAGCTGTAGTCCCACCTACTTAGGAGGCTGAGGCGGGAGGATCACTTGAGTCGAGGAGTTCGAGTCCTGCCTAGTCCATATAGCGAGTCACTGTCTCTAAAAAAAAAAAAAAAAAAAAAGCAAGACATCCAGTTATTTCTCTTCAATATACCTGACTATTGCATGACATTGAGTCTACACCAGTCCCTTTTTAATCACTTTCATTCTTTGAATCCTCACAGCAATTCTAAAGGGAAATACTAATTATGAACCCGTTTTGCTAATCACGGGACTGCACAGAAAAGAGTAACTGGCTGGTCGTCACAGAGGTAAACAGTTGTGCACTGATTTAAATCCAGCCAGCCTCTGAACGGAAAGTGTCCATGATCAAGACTTCCTTTAGCCCAAGTATGTCATCAACACTTCTCTATTGCTGGAAATTTTTTTAAAAACAGGGGCTGGCCCAGTGGCTCACACCTGTAATCCCACACTTAGGAAGGCCGAGGCTGATGGATCACCTGAGGTCAGGAGTTGGAGACCAGCCTGGCTAACATGGCAAAACCCTGTTTCCACTAAAAATACAAAAATTATTCTGGTTTGGTGGCAGTCGCCTGTAATCCCAACTGCTCAGGAGGTTGAGGCAGGAAAATCACTTGAACCAGGGAGGCAGAGTTTGCAGCTTGGGCCATTTCACTGCAGCTGGGCGAAGAAGGTGAAACTCTGTCTCAAAAAATAGAGATGAAAAACCCCCAAATAAACAACAGGAAGCTACCAGCTCTATGATGGACAGTGGCAAAAGCGATCCATAAGTGTAATACACACACACACACACACACACACACACATTAATTTGGGGCTATCTTCCATGTGTGTGACAAGATTGATTTTCATTTTCTCTGATAGAAGAGTTTGATTTTCATAAAATATGTGTATGAAGGTATTAATCAGTGTAAAATATTAACTAAAAAATGATGCAAGTGGTAACAGAAAGGGCAGTCATTCTTCTGTATCTGACATGAAGCACAGAATCTTGCTCATAGCTTTATAACGCTAATGTTGATTACAATATTATGGGAACACTGAATGGCTCTCTTTGGACCACAGGACATGTACTCATGTGGCAGATGAGAATAACAGGATACACAGTTGAGCACTCCAGGCCTTTGTGTGGAAATAAATAAATATCCCCTATGCGCCATAAAATGATCAAAAAAAGCAACAGCTAATATTATAGACCCCACACCACTCATACCATTCTAAGTTGCTTGTAGGCATTAAGTTCTGGGCTGGGCTGTGCGCTGCAGAAGGGCCAGGGGACCCCTTTGGCGCCGGTTCACGCAGAAGGGGCTGTGTGCCTGCGTCCCTGAGGTCGCAGCTGCCTTTCCCAGTTTCCTTGAAGTTGCCTTCCATCCACCTCCCTGCGCGTTCTGGGATACCAGCCTTGGCTTCCCAGGCCATACCTCCATAATACAGAGGTTAGTATTATGCCCCTTGTGCAGTGGAGGAGACTGAGCCATAGACAGGTTGTGCCATGCAGCTAAAAGTAACAGAGGTGGGATTTGCACTCATGCATGCTGACGGCAGCATCATACACTCACCCACCACCCTCTGCCACCAAGTTACATGAAGGATAAGGACATGGAAAACCTAGCACAGGGGCAGCAATAGGAGGTGCACTCTGTGGACAGGAATGTCCCCCTGCACAGCTCTGTGACATCTCTGGGTTTCAGTTCTCATCTGTCAAGCCAAGAGCAACATTCGTTCATGCCAAAGAGTCTTTGTGTCTTTGAACTGAGATAGGTAAGATTTAGCATCCAGTGGCATCATAATCTACCAGCCGTGGCCAGGGCCACAGACCAGGTGTAGCATAGGTTCATTCATCCCTTGACTTCTGAGCTATGTGACACTGGGTAGGTTACTTAACTAATCTGGAAGACAACATAAGCACTCCGGGCCCTGCATATTTGCTGTCCCAGTCTTGAGGCCTGTGGCTCTCATTCCGGAGGTCATGTGATCAGATGATATGAAGGATGGGAACAGATTTTATGTCTGGTCAAATGTAGGGGCAGCATCTTATTGAAAAGCACTTTCCGCAGAAGGTCGTCCACACTGCTGGCAGGGTCAGCCTGGTTGCAGTCCCATTCCCAGCATCCAATTCACAGCAGTGCTTTCAAACCCATAAGATTTCTCTTAGCTTTGGGATTTAACAGGCTTCATTCTCTAAAAAAGGCAGTGTAGAGTGAATGATCATCATTGCTACTGTTTATTAAACCCTAGCCAGGGGCCAGATTATGCTGTCATGTAATCCCTGCTTTGAGATATAATCTGGTTTCTACAAATAAGGAACTGGAGGCTCAGAGAGTTTAAGTGATGCAGTCAGGCCACACAGCCAGTACATGGTGAGGTGGGCTGTGAACCAGGACTGCCTGACACCAAAACCCGTACCCTAGGCACAGGCTGCCTTCTGAAGTCTCCTCTTCACAGGGAAGCAGTGGGCAAGCGTGGTCCTGACCTCCAGGACAGAAGGATCATCTTCCTCTTTGATTGAACATCAAATAGCGTTCCCTCCACATAGCCAGAGAAACTGATTGTTGGTTTTAATTACAAGTCAGCCAGGGCCTTACTCCTTCCTACTGAGCACCACCACACCCTCCAAACTGCAGAATCCGCCGTCATTTCTGCATGAGCAGGCGTGAAGCATTTCATGTGGAACCCATGATCACACACACTTCATTTTGCCAGGGACATGCCGGGCATGTCCTTCCATATTCCCAGTGACTTTACTGGTTGGAAGTAGTCAAGGGCTGCAATTTGAAAGAAGGGCAAATTCAGCCTGAGTTTGGGAGGAATTTCCAAAGATTCAGAGCCCAGTCACAACAGGGAGCTCTCAGGGGTCAGCGAGTGTCCTGTCAGTGACACTGGGCAGGCCAAGCCTGATGGTTCCTTGTGGGGATGTGCTGGGCAGTGCCGCTCAAGGTGTGAGAGCCACACACTGGGGCCAGTTTGCTGTTTCCTTTCTTTTCTTGTTTTGAGACAGGGTCTCAGTTGCCCAGGCAGGACTGTAGTGGCACAATCGTGGTGCACCACAACCTCTGCCTCCGGGGTTCAGGCAACTCTTATGCCTCAGCCTCCCAAGTGGCTGGGATTACAGACGCATTCATTCCATCATGCCCGATTAATTTTTGTATTTTTAGTAGAGATGAGGTTTCATCATGTTGGCCAGACTGGTCTTAAGCTGCTGGCCTCTAGTTATCCACCTACCTTGGCCTCCCAAAGTGCTGGGTTTATAGGCCTGAGCCACCACGCCTGGTCTGGTTTGTTGTTTCTGGGCCACAATGCACATCATCATATGTTCAAAGTTTGTACATCTTTCATTTTCCTATTTCTTTATGGATTTATTGAACTGCTTTCCTGTTGGATCTAAAAAATGGGTTTTGTATGTAGTGTTTTATCTCATTATCTCTATGATCGATACTATTACATTTACCAAGGTTTAAGTCTGTGATGGATAGGAAATAAAAACTGTCCTTCACCAAAGTGTTCGAAAAGCCCCATTGTGCTAGCCTGTTAGCATTGCTCTAATGGAATCCCTGAGACTAGGTAATTTATAAAGAAAAGAAGTTTGTTTTGACTTCTGCTTCTGCAGGCTGTGCAGAGTGTGGTGCAGGCATCTGCCTCTGATGAGGGCCGCAGGAAGCCTGCAATCCTGGCAGAAGACGAAGGGGGAGCAGGTACATCACATGGAGAGACAGGGAGCAAGAGAGAGAAGGGGACAGTGCCTGGCTCTTTTAAACAATCAGCTCTGGAGTGGCCTACCAGAGGAAGAACTCACTCTTCACCATGGGATGGCACCAAGCCATTCTTTAGGGATCTGTCCTCATGACCCCAAAAGCTCCCACTTGGCCTCACCTGCAATATTGGAAGTCACATTTCAACATGAGATTTGGCAGTGACAAAACATCCAAAGCCTAGCACCCTTGTAGGATTCAAGGAACTGAGGAGTTGAGTACCAGCACTGTAGCCACTTTTAAGCCTCAAATCCAATGTGGATCTGAGGCTGGGCAGGAAAATCAGAAAATAAAAATGAGGGATGCAGTTTCTGTGCTACATTTGGCATGAGACTGGAAGCGATCATGTATGGTCCCCACCCATATGGTGTGCACAGTGCAATCCCATTTTACAGAAGTGTAAACTCAATGAGGTAACCTGGCTGGCCTAAAAGTGTTCACATTATTAGTGGCTCACATTTCCATCCAGAGCCTGCTATCTAAACTCGTGGTTTAACCCCCACCCAAGTCCATTTTTTTCCAAGACACACAAAGAAGACCACAGTAAGATTCAAGTCAAAATTGTTTTATTGTCATTCACATATTTCATATAATAGGACATGCAGCAAATCGCTAGGGGTTGTATGTAAAAAAACCTCCAGGTTGTGCAGGTTGCTCTATTTACACCTGGGAGCAGAGCTCTTCCCACATCAGGCACAGCAGCTGCACTTCTCCAATGCCCCTTTGCAGACGCAGCCCTGGGCACACTTGGCACAGCCCACGGGGCAGCAGGAGCAGCAGCCTGGGGAAGAAGGGGAGAGTGAGAGGTGGCAGTAGACTGGACCAGGCACCTCCCTGTCCCAATAGCAAGCCTGGCTCGAGCTCAGACGCCAGACCCAGAGGATGCTTTTTTCGTGTGCCACAGCTCTGTTCTGAAACCACAGATGGTACAGTTGGGGTTTGTGTCCCAAGAGAAAAATGCTGTCCTGCTCCATCTGAACTCAGGGCAGAAAGCCTGGAGAGGGAATGACACAGCCAACTGGGGCAAAGGAAGGCCAGTTCCCCAGAAGCAAGCACTCAGTGTCAGCCTTGGGTTCCCTCCCAACCTTAGCCACAGCCCCAGATTCCTGGAGATGGCCCCGCACTCACTCTTCTTGCAGGAGGTGCATTTGCACTCTGCACTTGCAGGAGCCGGCGCAGGTGCAGGAGCCACCTGCAAGGAAGAGAAAAAGCCAGCGAGTGGTAAATGAGATGCAGAAGATACAGCAGTGGGTCTATGAGTGTCCAGTTCCCCCTCCTCTGTGCAGGGCCAGCCCTCAGAGCTCCTTTCCCACTCAGCAGAGGAAGAGAAGCCCCATCTTCTCTCCTTTCATGTTGGGAAAACCGAGCCCCCTCCATTTGTATTCCAAAGGTAAGTCCCAGTGTCCAGGCACAGCCCGGGAAGACTGCGACTTCCACATTCTGTCCTGAACCCGGAAGACGCAATGTCCCTTGCCTCCCATCCAATCCAGATGCTCAGAGCCTGGTTAGATAATTGAGGCTCAGTCAGCAGCCTCGTGACCAACGGGACGATGTGGAGCAGGACAGCCTTGAGCCTCAGGACCCCCAACTCTGACACAGAGGCACAGGGAGGAGGGCAATGCTGTCAGGAGCTTGACCAAGAGGAAAGCACTGGACGAAGTAAAGTAGTCCCCTCACCTCAGATCGCAAAACGCGACCTCCTCAAACCCAGGGACACTCTCCATGGTGTCTGGGAATTTGGCATCCCAAGGCACAGACCCGGGCGCCCCTTACCAGCGGCGCAGGAGCAGTTGGGGTCCATTGCAAGCTGAGGCGAGACTCTGGAGTTCCCAAGCGAGAAGCCAAGAGGCGGTGGAGCACCTGGAGTGCGTGGTGCAGCTCCACAGCCAGCGGCTGCTCTTATAGTCGGGGAGCGGGCCGGGAGCAGAAACCCCGCCCCGCCCTTGCACTCGCCCTCCTGAGTCCCAGCCGCCCGCGGTCCTGGGCTGGCCTGTGCGCAGCGGACCGGCCGGGCGCAAAGCACGGTGAACGCAGGTCGGTGCGCACCGCCTGGCCGCCCCTTTCCCACCGGCTAGCGCGGGAGGCGCTGTGCACCCGGGTGAGCTGCTTCTCTCACCCTGCGGGGCCTTCCCAGTTCCCCAAGATTACCTGCTACTCCCACTCCTTGGCGTTCCGCGTGCCCGGAAATGCTGACCTGCGCCTCACACCCCGGGGCCTGCCCACCCCCTTGTCTACAGCTAAGCCTTTCCTGGAGTCCCAGTGCAACCCCAGTCTCTTGTTCGACTGTCTGGATTGGCGGGAGCAGGGAGCATAGCAAGGGAGTAGTGTGCAAAGGACAGGCGGAGGATGCGACCTTCGGATCTCTGGCATTGCCTGTCCCTGTTCCTGTCCCCTTCTCAGTTCTTCCACCACGTTTCTGCTGTGCACAGAAACACGGAAGGCACAGGGCCCTGTCTCCCTCCCATCAAAGTATGCTTATTCATATCCCTCTATGTCTCTGTTTTGCTTCTAGGACTGACCTTGATGCTTGGTTTTGTTTAAAGATTTCAAGCAGTGAAGAGATAAACATATCTAAGCCATAGGGAAGCTTCATCACCGACCTCTCTCCCTTGAGAAGCTGACAGGATTCACACCCAGCAGTGCCACTTCCCAGCCCCCTGACCCTGGGCTAGTGGCTTGAACTGCTGGTATTGTCATTGTCCAGATTAGGAATATGGGTTCATAAATAGAACACATGTCCCTTTATGGTTGTTGTGAGGGTTCAAAGAAGTGACTAAACAGGACCAAACCCAGACCCGTGTAACCGTAGAGCAATAGAAACATGGAAGGAAAAATAAACAGCTCTCTTGCTTTCTAATTTAATGCAGGATCTTCATATCACCTTCAATGATCCCTCTTCTAGGGACATCCCACACTTTCAAAACTGCCATCCTGTATTAGGGTACCCGGCTAAGCTGTGGGGAGACCCTGGAGAGATTTATGCAAAGGAGGACCTGGACAAATGTGCCCACTCAGGCCCTCAAGAGTGGAGAATGGAAGAGAGAGAGGCAGAGCTCTGTATCTTCCGTGTTGCTGTGCACAGGAGAAACGTGACCAAAGGACTGAGGTAGGAACCGGGGACAGGGCAGATAAGGCCAGAGATGTGAAGTTTGCACCCTTGGCCTGCCCTTTGCACACTGCTGCCTTGCTGTGCTCCTTGCTTTGTCAGATCCAGAAAGTGGAGCACAAGACTGGGGTTACCCTCGACTCCAGGAAAGGCTTAGCTATTGACTAGAGACCTGGGCGTTGGTGAAAGTGGGGGAAAAGACAGAATACTGGGGTAGGCAGAACGCCAAGGGGCGGGTGTAGCAGGCAACCTCAGGGAAGTTGGGAAGGCCCGGCAGGGTGAGAGAAGCCGCACAGCGCCTCCCTCGCGAGCCGGTGCGAAAGGGGCCGTCCCACGGTGTGCACCCCGCTGAGCTCAAGGGACATTGCACCTGGACCATCTATTGCGCACAGCCCAGCCCAGGACGGCCGGCGGGGCACACTGGGCAGGGCGGGTGCAAGGGCGGGGCGAGGTGTCTGCGCCCGGCCCCCTCCGCTGACTATAAAAGCAGCCGCTGGCTGTTGGGCTCCACCACGCCTTCCACGTGCACCACTGCCTCTTCTCTTCTGGCTTGGGAACTCCAGCCTCTCCTCGGGTTGCAATGGACCCCAACTGCTCCTGCGCGGCTGGTAAGGGGCTCCCGGGTTCTGTGTCTTGGGCAATGGACACTCATTAACTCACTGCTGTATCTTCTGCATCTCACTCACGGCTCACTGGCTTTTTCTCTTTCTCACAGGTGACTCCTGCTCCTGCGCCGGCTCCTGCACATGCAAAGAGTGTAAATGCACCTCCTGCAAGAAGAGTGAGTGCGGGGCCATCTCCGTTGTCTGGGGCTAAGATTGGGAGGGAACCCAAGGCTGGCCCTGGAGGCATGCTTTTGGGGAACTGGCCTTCCTTTCTCCCCATACCTTGTCACTGCCTTTCCAGTCTTCTGCCCTGTCCAGGGCGCCTTTGGGGCTGGACAGCTTTCTCATAGGAAGACCTACCCCAAGTATTCCCTAGCTGTCTCCTGACAAAGCCATGCCATCCTGAACTAAGGGTCCTTTGGAGCTGGAGGCTCTGTTGGGCAGGGAGGTCCCTGGGCGAGTCAGTTGTGACCTCTCACGCTCCTCTTCTTCCCCAGGCTGCTGCTCCCGCTACCGCGTGGGCTGTGCCAAGTGTGCCCAGGGCTATGTCTGCAAAGGGGCGTCAGAGACATGCAGCTGCTGCGACTGATGCCAGGACAGCCTTTCTCCCAGATGTTAATAGCCAGACATGTACAAACCTAGATTTTTTTTTATACCACCTTGACCGGTTTGCTACATTCCTTTTCCTATGAAATATGTGAGTGATAATTAAACACTTTAGACATGATTCTGCCTTCAGTTTCCCTTGTGTGTTTTGGAAATCAGAGACTGGGATCAGGGATTGAACTGGGAATGCAGACTCCTGCGCTCTAGATGGAAATGTGAGCCCCTAACAATCCAAGTGCCTTAAGGCAAGCCAAGCTGCCTCACTGTGCTTCCTCTTTTGCAGAAAGGAATAGCACATCGTGAGGGCATTGGTGGGGATCTGGGATACAGGACCACCTTCATTCTCAAATGCCGCACAGAAAATTCTGAATGCCTCCTGTTTCTTCTCTGATTTCTCTGTCCAACTTCAATTCCTCTTTGGATTTCAGGTTCAAAAGTAACTACAGGGGATGGAATCAAACTCTTTAGTTATTTACTTCCACACGAGGCTTCTCAAACTCCAGGATGAAGGAGGGGTTTTTCATTCCTATCCATTCCACACCTAAACCTTGGTAAATGAAATAATACTAATGATGGAAATCATGAAACTAAATTTAACATACAAAATCTGGCTGAGTAGCATGACTCACACCTATATTCCCCATATTTTGAGAGGCAAATGGGAGGACCACTTGACACCAGGAGTTTGAGACTAGCCTTGGCAACATAGGGAGACTCCTGTCTCTAAATAAATAAACAAACACTTTGCAAAGTATGGTGATGCAAGTCTGTAATCCTAGCTACTTGGCGGCTGAGGCAGGAGAATCCATCTAACTCAGGAACTGAAGGCTGCAGTGAGCCATGTTTTCACCATTGCACCACAGTCTGGGTGACAGAAGGAGACCTCATAAAAAAATTACGAAATCCATTTTTAGGCTCAACAGGAAAAAGTTCAATCAATATAAAAAGAAATACCAGGAAAATTACAACTTTATAATCTACATATATGTTAATGGATGCTGTGCACTACAGACTGTAAATAGCACACAGGCCCTAGTGTGTAGATTACACACTTTGAGCAGCAGTGGTCATGACATCCTCACAAGGAACCATCAGTCCTGACTGGATGGTGTCACCAACAGGACACTCGCTGACCCCTGAGTGCTCCCTGTAGTGACTTGCGTCTGAATCTTTGGCAGTTTCTCCCAAGATTAAGCTACTTTTGTTCTTTAAATTCCAACCTTGATTAACTCCGGGGAGCAAAGTGACTGGGGATGTGGAGGAAAGCATCATCGTGGCAATGCAGAGTCATGAGAAGGACTGGGTCCAGATGAAGGATGTCGTGTGCCAATGCAGGGGTGACGGCATATTCTGCAGTTGGAAGGTGTGTTGCTGTTCATCAGGAAGGAGTGAGGCATCACCCTGGTGACTGGTAGTTAGGCCAACAGTAGGTTCCTCTGGCTACTGCTTCAGGGAATTGCTATTGCTGTTCAATCACAGAGGAAGATGAGTCAAGTGGCCCAGGAGTCAGGACCATGCTTGCCCGCAGGTGCCCTTTGTGAAGAGGGCAATTCAGAAGGCAGCCTGGGTCATGTGCAAGTCTGGGTGTCACATAACCAGATTCACAGCCCACTTCACACCTTCCTGGCTGTGGAGCTGGCACAAGCCCCTTAACCTCTCTATGCCTCCATTTCCTCACCTGTAGAAAGCAGATTATAAATTTATGTAGGGATTAAGTGTGACAGTACCCTGGCACCTGGCTTGGCCTTAATAAACAGTGCTGTTATAATCATTTGTCCACGTGTGCATCCCATCAGGCTCCTTGGGTAACACTAATCCGCCTGGAGGTATGATGTGGACTGGAAGTTGAAGATGGGTCTTTTGTTGATCTGTTCTCAAGGGCATACGGATGACCTCCTGTACAAAATTCTCCAGGATGATACACCGCTGCAGCATTTGGACAGAGAACAAGCCTTTCCCACACTTTGAGTCATTGATCTTCACACAAACCAGAGACATATTGAATGTACAGGGTCTGCGAGATTGTACTGTCTTCTAGAGGAGTTAAGCAATCTGCCCAAGGTCACACAGCTCAGCAGTAAAGGGACGAATGAATCTATGCTATGGCTGTCCTCATGTGCTCAACATAGCAGCAGATCATGATGTCAGCGGATGCTAAGCCCGGCCCCTCACAGTCCAGAGCTGGAAGGGCCCGTGGCCAGTTAGCCCTGTTGTGCCCTTGAAGGCAGCTGGGCAGCTGAATTCCAGAGAAGACCCAGAGCTATGCACAGGCTCTGACTGCCAACTCAGTGCTCTTCCCAATCTGCCTCTGTGGCAGGTTCAGAGTCCTCATGGTTTTCATGAACAGGTGACAGAGAGTTGTGATTGAGGGCATGTTGCTGCAGTCAACCTGCATGTATGCAAAACCCAGCAGCGTCACTTATATGTCGGTGACATAACCTCTCTGTGTTTCAGTTTCCTGCAGTGTAAAGGGGTAGAATGTACTCATGTGCCAAAAAATACCATATTGGCCAATTCTAGACAGTGTATATAATGATGGTCCCGTAAGGTTATAATAAAGACATTTTACTGGACTTTTTAATGTTGAGCTATGTTTAGATGCACAAATATTTACCACTGTGTTACAATTGCCTATAATATTCAGTAACATGCTGTAGAGCTTTGAACCCTAGGAGCAATAGGCCACACCATACAATCTATGTGTAGTCTATGTGCGTAGTAGGTCATCATCCTACCTAATCAACACTCTGTGATGTCTGCACAAAGATGAAATTCCTTAAAGATGGGTTTATCAGAATGTATTCCCATTATTAAGTGATACATGAGTGTAATAGGGATAGATTCATAAAAGTAAATGATTTAGTGTATGTAGAGAACTTAGAATGCTACCTCGTACATCGTGAGTGCTCTACAACATTAGCTACGATTTCATTAGTGTCAATCATGGCTGCTAGGGCCGGAATGCGTGTACCCTTCCAAAATTCATGTGTTGAATTCTGATTCCTAGTGTGTTGCTTTTAAGAGGTGATGCATTTTAGAGGTGACTACACTGAGAGGACAACGCGCTCATGAGTGGGACTAGAGCCTTAATAAAAGACGCCCGAAGAAGCGTCTTCTTTAACCCCTGCCACCATGTGAGGGCCCAAGAAGAAGAATGAGACCCTCACAAGACTCCAAATATGCTGGTGACTTGGCCTTATACCTCATCCTCCAGAACTGACAGAAAAAAGCTTCTGGTATTACAAATTACCCAGTCTATGTTATCTGGTTATAGCCTCCAAAACAGACTCATACGATATCACAGATGACATTTTTACTCCAGGCAAAAAAAAAAAAAAGCCAGGCCTGGTGTCCCTCCCTGTGTGTCCTCTGTCTGACTCATCACTCACATGAGCATTGTCCTGTAGCCCTGACAGAGTCCTACACTCTTCCCACAAAATAGGGATTCACACCAGAAATATAAAGCCATGAGCAAGACAGTCCCTGTTCCCATAACAGAATTGGAAGGATGCCTGCCAGTACTGCGATCACCTGCACCAATATGTGATGTAATGTTTCTGTTTCAAATGACTCCTATTCCCATAGATATATTTATATGAAAAGCAAACTCCTAACCACTACTGGAAAAAGAATCAGTTTAACTTCCAGACATAGAAGGTTGCCATCAAATGCTCCTCATTCATATCTCCTCTGCTTCTGCTGTACAGCATAACACTGTACTGAACACTGAGGGCAATTATAATACAGTGGTATTTGTGTATCTAGATGTAGTTAAACATAGAAAGGTACAGTACAATTACCTTATAACCTTATAGGACCACCGTCCTATATGTAGTGCATCTGTAACTAAAACGTGCTTATACAGCACATGATGTATTATTAATTTCTACCCCTTTTACAATCCAGGAAACTGAGCCACAGAGAGGTTGTTTCACCCAGGTATACAGGATGATACATCTGGGATTGGCACTCATACAGGCTGACCATAGGATAATGTCCTCAACCACAACCCTATGTCACCCTGCCATGTGACACAGGAAGACACTAACTCTGGCACAGAGGCACAGGGGGAAGAGCACTGAGCTGGCAGCCAGAGCCTCTGCATAACTGCATGTCCTCTCTGGGCTTCAGCTCCCCAGCTATCAAGTCAGGGGCACAATTGGGCTAACTAACCATGGGCCCTTCCAGCTCTGGAATGTGAGGGGCTGGGCTTAGCATCCATGGACAACATGATCTTCCACTACGGCGAGGGCATGAGGACACCCACAGCATAGATTCATTCATGCCTCTACTTCTGAACTGTGTGACCTTGGGAAGATTGCTTAACTCCTCTAGAAGACAGTACAATTCCTCTAGAAGACAGCACCATCTCACCAAACCCTGCACATTCACTGTGTCCCTGGTTTGTATGACAATCAAATGACTTGAAAGGTAGGAAAGGCTTGTTCTCTGTCTGAATGCTGGAGCAGTGTCTTATCCCAGAGAGCTGGTGCAGGAGGTCATCCACATGGCCTTGAGACCAGAACAGCAAGACTCCAAACCCATCTCCAACTTCCAGTCCACTTAATACCTGCAGGCAGATGGGCCTTTTCCAAGGAGCTTGATGGGAGCTAACAGGATTGTCTGTCTAGAAAGTCCACATGGAGAAATGATTATAATAACACTGTTCAGTAAGCCCTAGGCCACTAGTACCAGGCCACTGTCCCATTTAATCCCTACATGGAAATAAAATCTCCTGTGTACAGATGAGGAAATGGAGGCTCAGAGAGGTTAAGCGACTTGTGCAGGCCACACAGCCCGTAAGGAGTGAAGTGGGCTGTGAACCCAGCTGTGTGACACCAAAGCCTGCACTTGGCCCAGGCTCCCTTCTGAAATTCCCTCTTCACAAAGAGCACCTGCAGCCCATCTAGGTCTTGACTCCTGGGCCACCTGTCTCATCTTCCCTGTGATTGAACCACAAATAACAATTCCCTGAGCAGATAGCTGGAGGGACCAGCCGTTGGTAGCAATGATCAGTCCTCATCCTTCTCAGTGCACACCACACCCTTTCAAACTACAGAATATGCCATCACCCCTGCAGAGGCCGAGTCAAATACTTCACCTGGGAGCCCCAGTTACTAT